AAAAAGCAAAAGCAAATGTCTCCCGAGCGTGAGTCGAACACGCGACCTGTGGATCTCCAAGCGGTTTCAATTACAGTCCATCGCTCTACCAACTGAGCTATCAGGAGTTATGATGGAGTTACAGCTCAAAAAACATTACCTATATCCAGCACATTTGCACTTGCTCACTGTCGTACATCCTGTATATCCATTGCCCACTCTTCTCGCCTAACCCTTTCCATTATTTGCACTTGCCATGCAAACCAGCGCAAAAGAGATACTGTGGTCAAACTACTACAGTAAGATCAATTGAGATTGTGGCTGAATGAGTTCACGTGACTGACTAACTCTTCAAGGTCAGGCTCAGTTTCTCTCATAGTACAAGAATGCTACTCTCTGAACGATAGAGTAAATTAACCACTCACACATCGTCCAATGGCATCTCCCCTGGTCTATCTCGCTCCCCTGAATGTCAATGACACGGCGGCGCCGCGGCGGCGGTGGCCGCTTCTTCTGACGGACATGGCCTACGCTGTCGGCGGAGTCTGCTTACACTCAGTGCTTTGACCGCCACCGTCGTGTTCCTGGCAAGGGGGACTACGCCACTACCCTCCAATCATTGACCCTACAGTTTCAAGAAAGAGGGATCAAGGTTGAACGTGGGCCATCTCTCGCATTGGGTTTCCTAATATCTAGGTTAGCCACTTCAGGCATACGTACAGAATCCCGATCATCCAACGAGCCGATGACTCTCGATAGTGTGGGTACTTTCTCATCCAGCCCCGATATGGCTTCGGGGTTATGCAATCTCTCGTATTCTTGCGAGCCGACGTCGCGGCTTCGGCTGTGCATACGACGGTGCACCATTATCTTAGTTGAAATGCCGGCAGGTTCGAGCTGTTAAATCGTTAACGCCATGACACTTGCCCACTGGCCGAGAGGCATCTACTCGGAATCGTCGTGTTCAGATCTCTACAAGAAACATGCTCTGCTCAGGATTCCCTTCTGGTTATTCCATTCCCGTAACGAGAACATCCACGAGACCTTGGACGACATCTCTTGTGACTGACATCACTCAGTGACTCTAGGTGCACTTAATAGAATTCCACCTTACCTGCCCAGGAAAGTAGAATTGTATACGGCATTCCGATGAGCAGCCTCTATATATTTTACAATCTCCCTCATGTACTCGAGCTGCAGAGCCTTTGCCATCCTATGCTATTATTGGCCTGTGCTTCAAAAATCAGTACCGTATTAGCCAGAAGGGGAATGCAAGGCCGCTGGGTTAGAGAGTTTCAGGGGCATTAGAGGTAGCCAATGGGTTAAGCTGAAGGAACTACACCGCACTTTGCCAGACAATCATATCATGGTTGCAGAAAAAAAAAAGGTCAAGGTGAGACGCATAATCTACGTTACTGCTATCCAGCGATGCCGGTAGGTATATGTCGATCCGAGATCCGTGAGCTTCTTCTGCCCTCAAGCCTTGCATCCAGATGTACATGGCTATGACGGGCAGGCAAACTACGGAGACGGAGAGGCTACCTCGCGCCTTTCGGCATCGATGGTCAGCTTCTGCAAGAGATTCATAATCTTTCGGTGTGTCAAGTCAGCCCTCCAACTCCAGGAACCACTCCTCCCTCCGAACCTGATCATCAGCACGTCGAGGTCCCTCAGCTGCAAGATCAGCATGGTCCGCACGAGCGCGCCCCATTCCCGGGCCGTGTCTACCTCGAAGCTGCCCATCAGCACAACCCAGGAGTTGTCTTTCGGTATCATCGTGTTGCTGCCGTCTTGTTGCAGGACGTCTAGAAACTTGGAGACCACGTCCTTGCACATGCTCACCAGTCTGTCGGTGAGAGAGTGGAAGACCACCACGTACTCCTGTTTGCGCTGCTGGCACCAGTCACAAAGCAAGAGCGCTTCAGCGCAGCGAATCGCCTCCTTGTGCACCGACAGCCACGGGCCTAGCTCGGTTATACTCCTGCCGAGGCGCCCGCGCTCGAGCTCCTCGAAGATGAAGATCACCTTTTGGAAGCACTGATAGGAGGTTTGCGAGACTTGCGGGTGGTGCGACCAGTTGTGAAGGTAGTCCACAGAAACAGAGCTGTGTTCACTACTACTGCTGCTGCTGGTATGGGCTCTTCCGTCATCGCAGACATAGGCGGCCACCACCGGAGACTCAGACAGTAACGAGCTTGTCTGCAGTTGCACATCGGAGAATATCATATCTGTCTGTCCTGAGATAGGTGTCAGGGGTCTCTCCTCGAAGCAATATTTGGGGATTGCCGTATCCCAGTTTTCTTGCAAAGGGGGCGCAATTGCTGTCGAGTATAAGACCGAGGCGTGCCACGGGATTTCGTCATAACAGCGCCGCGGAGCTGTCGCCGCTGCCGCCTCGGCCCACGATAGTAAGGGCCATGTCTCGGCGTATGGGCTCATTGGAGTTGCGGAAATGCTCTGGGCCACTAGCAACTCTTGGGATACGAAAGGTGTCATGTCGGGCTTCGAGAACGCCGGATTGTTCGGTGGTTCTGTAGGCTGGAATGACGCTACTGGGTATTCTATGACTGGTGTCTCGGGACCAGACGTGACCTTGTTGGCCTGGGCCGATGAAGTCTCTGCAATCCTCGAAGCTGGAGTTTGGACAGGAACCCGAGTCTTTCTGCCGAGCTGCGCACATGCCAGCGTTGTCGCGTCCGACATCGAAACATGCGACGACCTCTTTTTCCAACAGCGCCTCGACCCGCGTGTGCTATGCTGGGAGTAGACACAATTTTGTGACGTGGTCTTACAACGGGAGCATCCTGTCCTATCACCACTGCACTTCAACTATGGATGGTAGGCACTTCGTCAGTCACACGTCCCGGCACTATAGGCGGATAGACCCAAAGATTCGGGAAAACTGGTAGAGGTAGCAAAGATATGAAGTGCAATCAATACCTTTTTAACTCGGCAGCTCTGACATGCTTGTTGGATGATCGGCTTGGCCGTCAGCGGATCAAACCCCTGTCTCTGGGTCTCGATACCGTCCTTCGAATTCAACCGCCAGGTACTTAGCATTTGTGATATTCACCAGCTCATAAGTGCCAAGTCCGCTATTATAGTTGACATATGATATAGCACCTCGATAGCCGTTTCATAACCGAATGAGCTGAAGAGGCAAAAGTTTCGAAACACCTAAGACGCCATCTCCTTGCATGAGGGAAAGCTTGAAGTTATGAGATATATGCCTCTGCGCCATACAAGAGGAACGGGCGTTTCCATAACGTAAAGTCTTAACGGATTTCTAATCACTTATTGTATGTGTATGTTCCCTACTACCTATGGTACCATGGAGGCCCGAACTCCCAGGCCTGAAGGGGGAGGCGGGGGGTGACCAGGAGACCGTACCTGTAAGTTGAAAAGCTAACGAGAGAGTTAGATGCAGACCTCCTTTAGTACGGGCTAACCAATGATTCGAGATCCCAATGCCCTGTGGCTTGATGTTGAGCTGCTTTTGCGAGCTGAACGTGGAACCACACCTTGTCCACTCGTGATGTGATGGTGCTATGAGTCAAGGACCTGCCTGCTACGCCGCACATACAAATAGTAAACGAGAAGCACGAAGAACTAATAACTTGAACACGATACGAGATGGAGAATGTCCCATCGGCGTTGTAGATCTTGCATCGTGGCTTGACTTGTTCTGCTTTGTTGTTCTGTAGATCATCGTCCGGTATGGATCGGAAAAGGGGGGAAGGCCCTACGAGATGCTTACAGGAGTCAGTCAGTATGTGATGTCACCATGGCAGAACAACTTTTCCTCATTCTGGCCTGGTTCGTCCAATATCTGGGACTCTAAACGGTTCGCATGTGATGTTGCTGCTTGCATATGGAGGTGATACCTGACCACTCCCAAGAGACATCTGCTCCCTGTCCTTTCCACCTTCTCCAGACCTCGGTATCGGGCACCCTCCAGGAATTTATACCATACGAATACAGTTGTAAAAATGTTTTATATCGCAAAGCTACTTAGATATCTCGTATCAAAGCAGATCTAATATGTAGCCCTTGCACACAGCCTTACCCGTTCGAAAAAGTCCCGGCTTCGGGATGCTAAATAGCCGTTGATCGTAGAGTAATGTCCTAATAAAAAGCGTCTCCTCACTGTGGGAGGGGCTCCTTGCACGCGTGGCGTAGACACCATACACAGAACAACTCACACTGACCAAGCATTCTCTGATATGAAGCCTGTACAACAGACAACCGGCAAGGTTGGCCGACAGATCGATCGTGAAGGGCACAACAGCCCCCCCCCGCGTAGTTCGTTCTTCTGTAACTGACTGACTGACTGAACTCCTGCAAGTCCTAAAAGAACGGACGAACTCGTTACACGATTTTGCTGTTTGAATAAAAAATCGATCTCATTATCCGGAACTGACCGGTTCGCGTGCACTGCGGCAGCCACCTTTTCCTCATTGTCAGGCCTGAGCTGTTTGACAAAAGACTACCTACACAAGGTAGATAATCATAATCCTCCAACTCCCTTCCCCCCACAGGCCAATCTAAAGCAAGCAGCGTAGAAAGAAAGCAGCAAGCTCGAGTTGAGATAGATAGATGAGCTGATACACAACATACGGCGCGAGATGTTGCCGAAATGCTGTGGCCGGGCCGGGGCCAGTAGGTAGGCCAGCCGCCATCCCTGGTGCGCTTTGTGGTAGTAGGGGCTGCGCTGAAGCTTACATTACATGGCTTGTTGTTGTTGTTGTGGAGGTGATCAATCAATACGAACGCGTTGCACTGCGTTGCGCCCTGTGTTGTCTTGGTGTTGAACCACATCGACAATACGCAGTAAGGTGCAACAACATAATTGCTGTGTTCTCAAGTTTCTGCAGGTAAAGAAAGCCCAAGGCACGTGAACGTCCACCCCTGCTAAGATGGGACCCATTTGAGTGCAAACCACTCCCTGCAGCCGTTGATGATGCCTAGCAAGTTGCCAACAACCAACTGGTTCCGACTATCTGATGTTCTGGACATTTCGGGTTTGTGTGGCCTAGTGGTTAGGGCGTCTGTCTTACATCTTGGTAATCGCCAATGAGTTCACAGAAGATCCCCGGTTCGACCCCGGGCGCGAACAGTGTTTTTATCTTTTTGCAGTTCTTCTTGGTTTTGTATCATGTTTGTGTGCTTGTTGGAAAAAATGTGGCTGAGTAAATGTACACCGTACAGCAGCAGTACACATGCACCCTTACGGCTCTTGCTCTTGTGGCTTTGCATCTGGTGACCACCCGGGCAGCAACTGCTCTCTCTTCATGAGTACAGCATACAGCATACTGCATTTTTATTTAAATGCTGTACATCAGTACCCAGGCCACGCATTATTCCAATCGAAGGATGGACACCCCTTGTCCTGTTCTTGTTACTGACCTACTGGTATGAACCTTTAGGTATTTACTTGGTGTAGTAGGTAAATGTACTGCTGTGTTGTGGACTGCAGTTGTACTGCTGTACAGCAGTACAGGTGTATGTAAACTCCGAAACGAGGTACACGCTTAAAGCGATAGCATGTGGGCCCCTTCCTACAAACAGCATGCAACTGTACTGGGCAGGTATTGACTGGAGTCTGGCCCAGTCGAGCTTGGTGCAGAGAGGTGGAAGGTAGAGTCTAGACACAGCTCCAAGCTCAGTTCCAATCCTCACGAATCTTGAATCCACACCAAATTGGCAACATGCGTGGTGCAACAGCTCCTGCTCTCTTCAGGCAGTGTGCCTCGCAGGCACAGCCGCGGATAGCCCGACTGGGGGTAATGTGCGTTTCAAATTCAGTTCAATCGGCCCTCTCTCACTCTTATTCTTGAGTTAACACGGAACACCCCCAAACAAACAGCTACGATGTCACGACACTAGCAAGCTTCCCTCTTCCCGCGAGGACAGGATGGTCCTCACTGGCCCCGAATGCCACGACCTCTACGCTCACTCGCCGATCCTTCCACACGTCTCCCCTCGTCCACAAGAAGAAGGATAAGGAGCAGAAGCAAGCCGCCAGACACGAGAGCGCCGGCAGAGCGGCGGCCGCAGCAAAAGCCAGCGCCAGGGGCGACCCCGGCGACGGAGACGACGGAGGGAAGCACCCGCATCCGAATCCGGAAGACCCCTGCCAGTTCGCCGACGTGAAGTCCCGGCTGGAGAAGCACGCCGAGTACTTCAAGGCGGCCCTCAAGAAGCTGCACACGGGCGGCCGCTTCGACCCGGAAGCCATCGGCTCGCTCAAAGTCCTCGTCGACAAGAAGGAGGGAACCGTGTACCCGCTGCACGAGCTCGCGCAGGTGGTGCCCCGGGGCGGCCGGGCCGTCTCCCTCCTGGTCCACGACGCCGACTGGGTCAAGCCCATCATGAGCGCCGTCCAGGCAAGCCCCGACTACAACCAGCAACCGCAGCGGGACCCGGACAACGAGCTCGAGCTCACGCTCAAGGTCGAGCCCGAGAAGCGCGAGGATATCGCCAAGCGCGTCAAGGCCGTGGCGCACGAGTGGCGCGAGCGCGTCCGCGCCGTCAGGCAGAAGAGGGATAAGCTGCACGTCACCTGGAGGAAGGAGGGGCTTGTCGGACCCGATCTGAAGGTCACGGCTGACAAACAGCTCGAGAAGGTCATCGAGACCGCCACCGCCGAGATTGACGAGGCCGAGAAGCAAGCGCTCAAAGCCGTCGAAAGGCTATGAGCTGGATATCTAGTAGTTACTACACATACATAGGAGTGGACTGGTGTGTATGCTGGACACTTTTCCCGTGTCTTGTATTGCTGGGGAAGTATTGTTTAAAATGTTACAGCGGGCCGGATAACACATAAGTGGTTATACATGTACATTATGAAAAAGAACGACCTCTTTAACTGAAGGGATACATATAATACAATCAAGGCCTCCGAGGCAAACTAACACTGAACGCACTTATTTATGCCTGACACATCCAGATAACCATTATGACCTGAGAATGTACTTGCAACTGGCCTTCCCCATCATGCTTTCGCTTCGGCACTGGTAGCTTTTCCAGAGCCTGCCTTGATGCCGGCGGGCAACATACTGCTGATCTTGTCCAGTATGCGTCGCTGAGCGTCTGAGCTCCATGAAGCATCTCTCACCACGTAGTTGGCCACTGTGCCGAGGGTATCGGTAGTGTCGGTATATTTGCGTTCCTTATACTGCCCTAGGAGACTGGCTTCGAGAACGGCATCCTTGGCCTCCTTGGGAACGGGCGGGAGCTCCTTTAGCCGGAGCACATCCTTGGTCCACTTGGCCGCCTCCTCCGAGGGCATGAAGACGGCGGGGCCGTTGATGAAGCGCTGCCGCACCTCGACTGCGCGCAGCGTGTTCATGGGGTCGAACGGCATCCCGGTCCCGAGAATGCGCGCCTGTCTCAGGACGATCTCGCCGTGGGAGAACTCGGAGCCGGTGAAGGCGCCGGAGGGCCCGTAGCCCGCGAGATCGCTCTTGGACAGGGACGGGATGAACGGCGTCTCGACACCGAGTTCTACGTCGCGTTCCCAGTGCTTGACGACCTCGGGGACCACCTCCGCAGGCATGGACATTTTCTTCACCCCTGTATTGTCTGCTGCCTCGTCGTCGTTTCCACGCCTTCCACCACGTCCGCCTCGGCCGCCTCCTCGTCCACCTCTTCCGCCCCGTCCGCCACGACCACCTGGTCCGCTACGAGCGCCGAACCCCCCTCGAGATTTCATGCCTCCGCCCCCCCTGCCTCGGAAACCGCCACGGATGATCTTATTGTTACCAAGGCCGCCCCTGCCGCCCTCGCCAGCGGAGCCCAGTCTGATAGGCGCCCTTGCGTCCCGCAAGTCTTGACGAAGGTCCAATGTTCTGGGAGGCCCCCTTGATTCCGGCGAGCCTTGGCGCTGGTCGGGCGTTGGGACAGACTCCCGTGAGCTGAGATCCAAGCTTCTGAAGTTGTATTTGGTCGCGTCGCCGGGGCGGTTCGAGTTGGCTGGTGGTCGGGAGGGGCGAGGCTTGTCGTCAGGGCCTGACAGAAACTCTCGGAATGCGGCGGCGGCGCGTTGCCGCCGTTCGGTCGGGCTGGTAGAAGAGTTGCCGTCATTGCGTCTGCGGATGGTGTTATCGAAGCCGTTGCTGCCGTCTTGGGGGCTCGCGGCGAGTCGCTGGGCGGTAGAGAAAGCGCGCAGAGTGCTCGCGATTCCGTCGGCGACTCTGGTGAGATCTGGTCTCGCGCGGCCAGCGGCCACGTGAAATGGCTGGCGTAACATGGCCGGGAGAATGGTTTGTGGTTGTTTATGACATTGATGTCGTTGCTCCTCTGCCCGAATTTTTAGTATCCCATTTGAAGCTTTGGCATCGGCGTTGATGGGTCATGCAATTAAACGTGTGTCTAGTTGTTGATAGGGGCACAACTTTGCACTGTGCTGATCATTGGAGATGTGGCTGCTGTCTTACTGTGCGTGATTAAGTACATACTGTCAGTGGGATTTTCTGTGCTTCTAAACCACTACCCAACTTCCGTCTTTGGATCTTCAACAGTGTCGACGTGTCGTGGTTTTATTGAAATCGCTCAGTTACATGTAGGAATTACTATGGAGGTTCATTCATTATCATTACAGGTCAGACAGACCGCATTTAACTCTGCAGTGGCTTTCCCATCCCGCCGTACGTGATGGTCTTGATATGCTGATACTCCTCGATGCCGTATTTGGATCCCTCTCTGCCAAAGCCGGACTGTTTTACTCCGCCAAAAGGCGCAGCGGCGTCGGAAATGAGACCAGTATTTACGCCAACCATTCCGACCTCGAGAGCTTCCGCCACCCGCGTTATTCTCTCCAGGTCTCTAGAGAAGAAGTAACCAGCCAGCCCAACTTCGGCAGCGTTGGCCAGTGCTACAACTTCTTCCTCTGATTCAAAGGGGAAGAGACCAGCCACGGGACCGAACGTTTCCTCGCAAGCGATTGCCATATCTTTTGTCATGCCCGTGATAACAGTAGGCTGGTAGTAGTTCGATCCAAGATCCGGTAGCTTCTGTCCTCCCACGACGACCTTTCCGCCCTTCTTCTCGGCGTCCCTCACGTGGCTGTCCACTTTCGAGACTGCACGATCGTGGATTAGAGGGCCATGGGTGACACCCTCATCGAAGGGGTGTCCCACCTTGAAAGCCTTGACCTTTTCTGCAAATTTCTGGGCAAATTCGTCGTAGATGCCCTTCTGGACATATATACGATTGGCGCAAACGCAGGTCTGGCCAGATGAGCGGAATTTAGATGCTATGGCACCAGCAACGGCAGCATCGACATCCGCATCGTCGAACACTATGAAAGGTGCGTTGCCTCCCAGCTCCATCGACAGGATCTTCAGAGTTGAGGAAGCTTGTTTCATCAGGACCTTGCCTACTTGCGTCGAGCCTGTGAAAGACACCTTTTGAATGGTAGGGTGTGTCGTCAAAGTTTCTCCTATTTGGGGGGTGTTCTCCAAGGAAGTCACCACATTCACCACGCCCTTTGGAATGCCAGCGCGGTGCGCAAGTTCCGCGAGGGCCAAAGAGGTGAAAGGTGTCTCGCCAGGCGCTTTGCACACTGTTGTACAACCGGCAGCCAAAGCTGGTCCTATCTTTCGTGTGATCATGGCAGCAGGGAAGTTCCACGGCGTAATCAGACCGCAAACACCGACAGGCTGCTTGAGGGTCACCACCCTATTCGCCGCCACACTCGCTGGAATGGTGTCGCCATAGGTGCGCGGAGCTTCTTCGCTGAACCACTCGAAGAATTGGGCGGCGTAGTTCACCTCGCCTTTAGCATCAGCGAGAGGCTTCCCGTTTTCCAGAGAAATCAACTTTGCCAGGTCCTCGGCATTCTCCATCACCAGATCATACCATTTCCGCAGAAGCTTGGATCTTTCACGGCCGGTCTTGTAGCGGAAGGTCTTGAATGCCTCGGCGGCGGCGGCAATCGCTTTCTCGGTGTCTTTAACGTCGAACTCAGGGCAGGTTCCTATCAGATTTCCGGTCGCGGGGTCGTGGACCCCAAAGGTTTTGCCCGAAGCTGCTTTCACCCACTCGCCGTTGATGTAGCAGACGTCTGTCTTGAATAAGGACGGGTCATTGAGCTAGTAAGGAGAGCTTGCTGGT